GGTGCACATGTATCACTGCAGTATGATGTTTGCAGTTCTATAGGGAAAAATACTCTAGAGGGGAACAGCTCAGTTGAAAGGGACTGCTAAACCTAGGGTTAAGAGGATTTTCCACAATGATTTTCATAGTGGTTACACTAGTCTACACTTCCACCAACAGTTGAAAGTGATCCTTTTTGGCTACATCCCCTCCATCATTTGCTATTGATTGATCAATTTTCATGCTTATGTTTGATAATCTGAACAACTAATTTGAGACAACAATATGTGCTATAACAATCACTGTTGAAATTTTATTCTTTTGTTAGTGCAATTCTGTATCATTTCTATTTTTTTACTACTTTGTATTCTCTTTAAAAAACATACAAATAAGTTAAAAAAATGAAAATCAGTATTTTTAGTAATGAGTAGGCACTTCAAAAATCACTTCTCATTACAACAACTCAAAAAATCCTTAATATAGAACTATTTTACATTTAGGAAAACAAAGTCTTAAAAGTACAATGAGCTTAGAGCACAGTTTTAATCCAATAGTGTGAATGTATGTTCCTTTAACACACTGTATTCTCTTCCTAGATGTGAAACATACGCATAACTTTCAGAAATTTTGAAATAGTATTCTGTGAGAGAGTTTATTAATTTTAGAATTTTTTCCCATGTGTGAATAAGCCTAGCCCAGAAAGGGACATGAGGGGACCATGCCTTACAACATCACAGAACAGGACAGTTGTGCGGCAGTGCTATGTTGGGGCAGAGTAATGCTTCTCTTTGTCCTATCACATAAATGCCATGAAATTGAAATCTAAGTACCTAGTTATGTGTAAATGTAGACAATGCACGTGAATTTCAATGGCTCTAAATAATTAACGCAGATGATAGACAAAATGATCAAAGAAATATACCACAGATGGCACTACCTTTTATGAGAGACTTATATCTCCTATAATCTGATTTCTAGTTTGCTGAGGGTCAGTAATTTCCATGCCATTTTCCATTTAGTAACAGAAAAAAATATATATATATATATATTATATATATATATATATATAATTTCAAAACACTTCAAATTAGATTAATTTTATTCTTTTGATTTATTTCTGAATATGATGGTGATAGTAAGAATTAGAAAACTGGAACATAATAGTTCATAAATCTTTGCATTAGTTCAAATTTTTGTTTCTAATAAATTAGAATATAAAATAAAACATACTAAGAATATCATAAAGTCAATCTGGCTAAAGTCTCACATTCTCAACTGGAAGATACATGTTTCATTTCTCTATTAAATTTGAATATAAGCTCCTGAGTCCCAAATCTACTCCCAAAATTTGTTAGCTGGCAGATCATTTCATGGGAATTCTTTTTTTTTTTAAATATATTTTTTATTTTTATTTTTATTTTTTTTTGACATCAGTTATTTTTATTTTAAAGAAAGAAAAAAAATAAAAACAGTGGTACAAAATCTCAAAACAAGATTTTAGGAGAGTAACAATGGTTAGTACATTGTGTGTTGTTATTGCCAAAATAGTTTCTCATTTTATAAGACATAGGCAAGAAATAATAAGCAAATAACATAGGTACAAACTTCTTTTTTTATAAGTCAACAGAAAATGGAAATATACTTTTTAAAGTTTCTAATACTAGAAGATATCATACAATGTCTTTTTAAATAAATTGTAAGTCAAAGATACAGTATAAATCTTAGAACAAAAATTAAGATTAAGCAATATTCAGAAAATTAAATGATTCAAAACAATTGAACTAAGAAAAAGTTTTCATGATAGCAAAGAAGTACTAAGAGTAAAACATAAGATAAATACTGGAATGGCAAATAAATGACCAGCACTTTTAACAGTTTGAGGATAGGATATCGCACAAAGTTCTAATGTGTTGTGGACATGCATAATGACTGTGACAGTTACTGGTGGCTAGGCGTCACTTGTAGAACTGAGCTACAGCTATTTCTTTGAAATCCACCCTGTAGACTCAGGTAGAATCATGACTCATAGGGTGGAAGAGAAGTCTATTTGTAGGGTGTGCTGATGAAAATATTCTGCTGCTCAACACAAAGGAATAACTAAAAGACTACTATTGTAAACCTCTTACTCTCCTTTGTTTGTTTGCCCTATTAAGCCCTGAGAGTTTCAGTCTCCCGTCCCTGGTTGTCAAATGCTTCAGTATACAGGATTGAAATCCCATTCAAGCCAGCTATCCCCCTACTGGGAATTTTCCCAGATGAACTGAAGACATCATATCATAGTGCTATATGTGTGCCTATGTTTGTAGCAGCACAATTTATGATAGCCAAACTTGAAAACAACCAAGATGCCTGTCACTTGAAGAATGAATGAAAAAGATGTGGTATTTTTTATACAATGGAGTATTACTCAGCTATAAACAATGATAAACTTGAAGCATTTATATTTAAGTGGATGCCACTTGAAGATATACTCATAAGTGAAATAAAACAGACCCACATGTGTAAATATCATATAGTCTCCTTAGTATAAGTACTCAAAGAAAGAAATAAAAATAGAAATATATAACAAAATTAAAAGGAAAGTGAGAACTTGAGGATTGGACAATGAGAAGAGGGCAAGGAGAAAAGCTAGGAAAAAAATACAGGCGCAAAGCCATACATTTATATGCACAAGATGGGTAAGGCAATGATCCTGAGAAATATCAGCAGGTTTTTGAAACTAGCAGTTAACTGATAGGATTCCCACTATGCCTAACTATATATGCTGACACCAATGAACTAAACAACTTCACTGAAGTAAGCAATATGTAATAGAAGGGTAACACTTGGAATGTCTGTCATTCTGGTTTCCTAAATACTTACTGCTTGTCATGACACACCAATTATTGCCGTACTGTCTCTCAAGTAAAATTTTTTTTTTTTAAAGGATAAGAGGGCTGGAGAGATGACTCAGTGGTCTAAAGCACCTACTTAGAACAAGCTTAGCAAAGCATCAGGGACCGCGGTTCAATCCCCCAGCACCACATGCCAGCCAGCCCTGCCCCCTGGTGGCCTGAGCCGGTCACACACACACACCACTCTCTCTCTCTCTTTCTCTCTCTCTCTCTCTCTCTCTCTCTCTCTCTCTCTCTCTCTCTGTCTCTCTCTCTGAAATAAATAAATAAATAAAAAATTTAAAAAAAAAGGATAAGAAATGAAAAAAGAGACAAGAAAAAAAATATCACAGGACTGTCCTGCTACAATGCTGCATATGGTTAGATTTCTAAATTTCTGTCTAAAAATATATAATTGTTTAATCATGTTTTTAAAATATTTTTTATTTTTTTTATTTTTTTCTCCATATTCTGTAGAGACTTAATGTTTAACATACCAATACTACATGGAAAATACCTGTTCCATGTTATGCCTAAGATGTTTGATATTCAGACAGATAGTGAGGTTGAACCCAACTGCATATGTTGTAGGGTAATAATAAGCTTCTCCTCTGGAGAGTTAACCTAAGTTTGCAGACCAAAAATTAGAGAAAAAGAAGGCCGCAAGGACAGCCAACATTTTGGCCCTATCCTTTCAAGGTCAGTGAAGACTCAAGACATAATAGAACCTATACTGTAACATCATGTAACTCAGTTGTGTCCCAAATTTCCTGATCAAGGAGATTATGAGGCCACAGAGCAAAGTGATCGATGATGTAGAGTGTGCCTAAGGAGAGTCACGTGGAGATAAAACATTCTCTCAGGCTTTCACAGAGAACAGATTGGTCAAGCAATGGCCATTACTCATCCACATGACTGATACCGACAAAGGATCTACAAACTGTGGTACAGGGTAACAGGATAAATCCTGAGGGGACTTGACAGACATTATCAGATACAAAAGACAATTCTTGTTATATATGTCTTCCTTTATCTTGGTCTTAAACGTCCAGCAGAAAAGTATAAAAATGAAGTATAAAAATAAAGCAATATTAGTATGCTGAGCTATAAAAGGCTCAAATCAGCAACTTCTGACATTGCCAGTCCTACAGATAACCCACTACTATTATGGACTACTAGAATATTTTGGATTATTTTGCTGAATTCACTCACCTACAATATTTAAATGGCAATGGAATACCCATCTCTAACAAAACTAAACAAGAAAAGGGGATACAAATGAACAACCATTTTGTATCTGTATATACAAAATAGTTAGGATAGATACACAGCTACTTTCTCTTAATTCAATGAGAAGAAAGATTTGTACTAATACTATTTGGACAGGATATTGTGTCTGCATCTTGTACTATAAATGACCACTGAGAAGATAAGAATAAGCATTGCATTAACTATTGAAACTGTCCTATTAATCGGTCTTGAAACTGTCTCATTGATCTCTGTTTATCAATAAAATTAATTAAAAATAATAAAATAAAAAATATTAGAAAGGAAAAGTTTTTTCTCTATACTTATACAAAAACAAGAAGTATAAATGTGTTATTTATTGGGCCATCTCATAAAAGAATGGCAGATAAAGATTTTCTTCTATTATAAATATTATTGTTTTGTTATTGTTGAATTCAATAACTTACTTCATGAAGTTTACTTAAAAGAGAGATTTGGAAAAAAGTTTTTTGTAAAAATTACAAAAATACGATAAAATACAAAGATTTTTGAGGTTTTTTGTGAAGAGACCCATTTACTTACATCTTTTTCCTATTCTAAGTTACATACTTTTCATTTACAGAAAGCCTAATGCTGGGCATGATAGCACACACCTATAACCCCAGCACTTGTGAGGCTAAGGCAGGAGGAGCCTGTGAGTTTGAGGCCAGCTTGGGCTGCACAGTGAGTTCAAGGCCAGCCTAAACTGTACAGTGAAACTATCTCTAAAAGACCAAAAACAAACAAACAAAAACAAATGTAAAGATAAAGTCTAATTTTTTGTGTCAAAATGAATATTGTAAAAATACAATTATAAATTTCTTGTATGACATGTGAAACATTGTGTCATTAATGATTTTTTTTCATTGTTTTTCTTTCAGCGGACTGTGGAGGACCTTTTGAACTTTGGGAGCCAAATACGACATTCAGTTCTCCAGAGTTTCCGAACAGCTACCCTAATCAGGCTTTCTGTAAGAGTCACTTATTTTCTGAGATCCCTATATCAAGGTTAGATCCCCATGAGTGCAGCGAGGTTAACTGGTCACACACAGGCACAGCCAGCAGTGCTTGCCTACAACATTGCTTAATATGATAACAAAAATTAAAATAACAACTGACAACTTTTTAATTACATATTTCACAACATTTAAAGCACTAATGCTCAATACTGATTTTTTTCAGTCAGTTCTCACAATAATTTGTAAAAGTAGTAGCCATTATTACAATTCCAAAGTAAAGTTGGGTAACACCATTAAGTAGGAGAGCCAGTCTTACCCAGGTACTTCTTTCTCTCCCAGTCTTACTTGCCTTGCTTATGAATGCAATGTCCAGAGTGGGTATGAAAAGTTTACAGTTTGGTAGAGCAAAGTTAATTGTAAGTGTAAAAAATAAAGAACCAGTTACAACATGCACACTTTTGGCAAATATATGGTAAAGACTATTAAGCACAAACCAGGTAATGTGATTAGATGCCAGCATAAAAGAGGAAATAATAAGGAGAATCACTAAAATACCTAAATATAGGGAGAATAGTTTGCAAAAACTGCACACAGACTGCCTCAATGTCAATGTTGCTGCCTAGGGAAACCCATGAGGGCTACATAGGCTTTGCAGAAAAGATGCAGCGACCCAAACCATCCTGCCAAGTGTCTGTCTCATTAGGTCCAGGCTGGCAAGCACCCAAGTTCCTCTCAGGCCTTTGCCTCTTTAGAGCCACTGTTCTAAATGGAAATTTCTACCAGTGAAAGAGCTGCTCCACTGACAACGAAAACATGCACGAGAAAACTCCAACCTTTCTTCCCTCAGAGAGGAAGATATGAGCATCAATTTCAAAGTCAAGTGGTACCCCTTTTATAAGGAAATATCTGACGAAAATAAACAGCTGTTAATCTAACTAGACTTGAATTAAAGCACCTACTTAGGCAGATGCAGCAGCCAGGGTTCAATCCCAGGCATGCCGTGCCGGCTGTGTGCTGAGATGGAGACTGAGACTGGGCGTGGTGGCACTAGCCTGTAATCCAGCTCTTGGGAGACTGAAAACAGGTGGATCACTACAAGTCCAGTCTACGTAGTGAGACCCTGTAAACTCTGTACTAAAATACAAAAAAAAAAAAAAAATCTAATTAGACTTGTATGAGGAAACATAAATTACAATTTCTACTTCAAACTGAAGATAAATTTCTAACTTATCTGTTAAATGAAGTAATGATCCAAAACCTTCAAAAAGAATCCAAATATGAAATAATTAGGTGAAATTAATTAAATTTATTTATTTACCCGAAATATACTAAGCACTTTGTTAGACATTAAAATTCATTAAAGAAAAAAGAGAATGATAGTTATCTATATGAGAATCTGGCTTCACCAACATTATGAAATGTTTGAGATAAGACTAAAATAAAAATCAAAGCAGTATGCTGCAAGGAGGTGCACATAAGCTCTTAACGTGCAAACACAAGAAAGTATCTTTTAGCTCTCTAAAGAAAGTTTAATGATGGTAATATGTGTCACTGAAAGTGTGAAAGAATTTTGTACCATATTCTGAAGTTGGAATTTTATTCCAAAAGCATCAGGGAGGTGTCAGTTCACAGGAAGATAGCAGTTAACAGGGGCAGGGCCTGACTGGTGATGTCATTCCCTGAAATAGGAGGAAGGAGCATGCCAAACTGAAATTCTGCTTTCTCTTTAGAATCTGTTGGACTTAAGTACATCCATATGCAGTAATATTTGGAAAAATTCATCTACATCTCAAAAGTAACAGCAAATATTTAGAAATCCCTAAAAAAGAAATCTCAGGACTAGCAAGGTAGCTCAGTGCTCTAAGCGCCCACCTGGCAAGAACAAGGACCTGGACATGATCACTGGTATCACATGCCATGCTGGCCCCAGAACCCCGGGCATACTGTGTCAGCCGCTGAAACTGGGCATGGTGCCACACAACTGTAAACCCAGCACTGGGGAGGCTGAGACAGGAGGATCACTATGAGCCCGAGCCAAGACACTATAAACATTAAAAAAAAAAGAAAGAAATCTCATTCCTTAAAAGCAAATAAAATCTGGATTATGTTTCTACAGTATTTAATAAACTATATTGAACTGGAAAATAAAGCAAATAAAATCATGAGAGGAAAGCACCTAGAACAGAATATGAAGACTAAAATAGTCTCAAAATGAATAAAAAGTAATGCTGACAAGTTTTTCCCAATGAACTAACAGCATGCAACATATGTAAAAAAAAAAAAAAAATTCCAAATTTTACAAACATATTAACATTTACTTGACTATATATTGAATTTTAATCACTTAATTTAAAATAAATTGAATCATAATAAATTAAGTGAATTGAAATAAAATATTAATATTTTTATATTCATAAATGTTATACTACAAAAGAATGTGCCTAGGTTCTGTATTCACTTAATATAAAAAATTCATTGATGAAACCTTATTTCAAATTTAACAGACATTTTACTGTAAATATTTTTGTCTAAACCACCAGTATATTTGGTAATCAAAAAGTAAAACAAGGGGCCAGCAAGATGGCTCAGTAGAATAAGTGCTTCCCTGGCAAGCGCAAGTCCCTGAGTTCAATCCCCAGTTCT